AATTTCGCGCGTTTCCATGTCATGATTCTCTTGCGATAATGGAAATTATTCGACGATAAAATTATTCGACGATAAAAGTCAGTCGGACAAGCTGGTCGATACGACGGATTCGCGTTCGCGAATTCGAGTCTAGAAGAGAACAAGACTGATATGAAATCACCAATCGCGTAACCACTGAAACCACTTAACGTTCAATGGAAAGATAATGCGCGATTTGTTAACTTCTCTTTTAATGAGAACTTATTTTTGTTCCTTATCAATAAATAGATTAACTTCTCGGAAGAGAGAATTCGTGCGTCTCTATCTGAATTGATCTGGACTTATCGAAGCACTCCAGTCGAGAACGTGCATAAGCGCGATGAAGAGTGAATAAGCGAGATAATAATAACTCCGACGCGTGATAACTGCACCGAGAAAGCAAAAGCTGTTAGATCGACAAAATCGGTGATTACACGTCTCTAAAGAAATACCGTGTCTATTGAACAAATTACGCGTTACTGCAACGATAATATAAGTTGCGTTGCTTATATAGTTACTGACTATATAAATCCTCATAGCAATTATATAATTCGTTCAATCGACATATTTTATTCGTTCATTTTGTTCGTAAAATCCCATTCAAACCAATCGCTTTTTTTTCTCAGTGTGTGCCGACGCGACAACTACTGTAAAATTCATCTCGTCGAACGCGGGGTGCATTATGTGTATGTTAATTCGCGAGAAGTAGCGGACAGCGTTGAGTAATGGAGGAAACTAGTAACTGTCAGCCTGACTTTTGTAGGAGTGACCGGCAAGGCACAGGGTTGCAATGGAACTTTTCTGTTCGTCTAATTGTCCTAACGGCTGACCTCGACCGTCCACATTCCCTTATCGCCCCTTCGTTCCGTACCTACAGCACTCCGCACCTCGTTATGCTTTTATATAACAGATTAATGCACTGAGAAAAAAATGTTTGGTATTTATAACTATAATTACTTAGAGAAATAATAATAAATTATGGTCTATCACTATAAATTCTCTCTCTACTAATGTTAGTAATAATAAACTTTATATGCATGTTGCTGCTATCATTTTCGTGATAGAAAAACCAAAAAATATAATTGACATAAAAAATAAATATAATTTTAGTTTAATCAATCATTATCCTCCAGACTCCATATTTCTATCATGCATTTAATTTCTAGTTCTCAATTTACATTGAAAAAAATGCTTAGTATTTGCAATAATACTAAGCTATAATTTCATAAAGAAATAATTACTACAAATTATGGTCAAGAAAATTATTTTTTTAAATTAAATTCTACCATAATATTAGTGATAATAATCTCATATGCATGTTACTGCTATCCCATTTTCGTGTTAGAATAATTAAAAATATAATTAGGACTAAAAATAACTATAATTCTAGTTATATCAAGCATTTCTTTCTCTCAGGGTGTAACTATGAATCTGACTTTCTTATCGGATAAATAAAATTTGGTAATAAATGGTTACATTTAATTCTTCACGTACAATATTTAATAGATTTCTGAATTTACTAATTTTGACGCAATATAATATTCGCTTTTTAAATACATTTTCTAATTTCAAGACTCTCATTGCAAGAATGGCTCTGGAAATAGATCGTCTGGACGAGACAGAAAGTTCGTCTCGATCTGTATTTTTAATCTCGCTCAAAGCCTGAGCTTTACGGTTCACGATCAGTAGGCATCGACTCCGAATCGTCTTGGCGCACAGCGGCTCGTTAAGGCGACTGAAGTCGGCTTTCGCCTCGGATTCCCGATGCATATACCGGGATAATTAATGGTAAACGCATCGTGGCGGTGATAGGCGGGCCGCGTGAGCGCCTCTTGCGTCTGCCACAGTCAAGACAGGTGCCACGGGTCGGGGCAGTCTCGCGGTCAGGGTTTGTACGTCGAATGAATAATGCGAGTGCACTTGCATCCCGGCGTCCGATCGTACATAGGAAAGGAAGGCGAAGTCGTCGGTGCACTCCGCCTCGGTATTATCCGTTCCAACGTTCGCTCGCGCGCGAGTGCACGTGTGCAAGGCGCGCTAAGTACGCACACGAACACGCATGGTCGAGAACTGAAGGCATGCTGCGTGCAAAGACGCAAGAGAGGAGGCAGGAGAGAGAGGGAGAGAGAGAGAGAGACAGATAGGGAGAGACAGATAGGGAGAGACAGAGGAGCGGAGAAAGCCTTGTGGGCATAAACTGCTGTATTCCGAAGTATACCGAAACGGAGCAAGGCGAAGCTTGCATTCATTGCCTATCGGACTGTTTCTTAGTATCCATGGTCCCATTCACACGACGGCAGGACATGCTTTGCGGTAAATTAATGTTAAGCGAAGATGCATGTGTTATACATGAAACTATGTACTAGCAAAGAGACTCGCGTTAACTATACTGAGAAAAATGTTCGCTATTTTTAACTGTGTGTAATCATAAAGAGAAATAATTACTATAAATTATGGCCAAGAAAACTATTTTTTTTAATTAAATTCTACTATAATGTTAGTAATAATACCTTTATATATGCATATTACTACTACTATTTTATTATAAAAAATATGGTTGGTGCCAAAAACAACTATAATTTTAGTTAGATCAATAACTTTTTCTCTCAGTGCATTGACTTGTGAAGTGACGTATACTTTGTGTACAATATGGTTTAAACTTTTTTTGATGCATTTCAGAACATAGTCGATGGTCCAATGAGAGAACTTAATTTTAATTAATTTTCAGAAATTATGTTTCCTTATTGGATCATCAAGTACATGCTGAAATGCATCGAAAAGAACTATTAAAATTAAGTGTATATGTAGTATAGAATAAGTCGCAGTGTTTTTAATTAAGTCGCAATCTCTTTTGTTGTCCACTTGAGTAGCTGAAAAGTGGCAAATATTATTTATATTGGTTATCAATTATATTATATTATCTTCCATTGTATTAGTTTATTATCGACACCTTCTGTGCAATTATGTATTACTTCCGAATAAGCAGTTTTCTGGTATGTGAATTAGCGGAAAAAGAAACTGCGTATTGTTTTCACAAATTCATCATATAATGGCTGGAGCGTCTCGTACTGCGTAGTACGGTGTAATCTTTTGATTACAGCGAGCTAATTATTTCATTCGTCTGTAATATGAAGCAAAAAAGAATGTGTAAAAATACCTTTATATGCAAGCGCACGTCTAAAGAAACGTAATAAAATATTTAGCCGCAATTAAATCGATTGTTCAATGTGCACCGCTTCTTTATTGCACGCAGCCTTAAATGCGAGAGGTTGCCGTTAAAAATAACGAACAAGAACGTACGAGGAATGTATGATTCACATATGCATTATTCGTTTGGACGTGCAACATTTATTTTTATCCAGTGTCGTCAGTCACAAGGGATGTACCGCGACGTATAACCGATGTTACAGCCCCTTTGCGAGAATTTCACGGCTGTTACGGCCGATATTCTGTCACCGTATATCCACCAATTGACTTAATGATCCGAGTGAATCTATTCTCGATGCAGGACCTAAGTGCATACACGAGGTAACATATTGGATGCTCACACGGTTAACAAGCATCTGAGTAAACAGTCTCCAACAGCCTTGACAAAGCAGCGCGGCAACCCTTGCAATTGGGAGGCTTCATTTGGGAAATTTGCGGTAAAAGATCAAAATACGTTAACTTATGTCGGAAATGATCTCTTTCTCTTGTGTTTGAAACAAGAGCTGCGAAATAAAAATCCGCGCGATACTATTAATATTCATGAACGTGAATAGCTCACAACGGACATAATTGTTTTTCTATAACCATCTTTATATTTACTTTGCGAATAATGCCAGCTGGTATTATCCTCGCGACAATTATATATATATAGTTTAATATCTATTTATATATCAAATTCCTAACCGCACAAGTACGCGATTTCACATCAATATATATATATATATATATATATATATATATATATAGAATAAAATTTAATGCATCGATACATCCAAGTGCTTAGTGGTGGTTTCTGAATGTATGAACAGCATCGACAGTTGCTTATCGGAGATACATTGAATCCACGATCGTGTGGGTGTGCACATATACGATGGGTATGGTGTACACGATGGGCGATTACATTAGACGAGAGACGCACGTGTATTATGGAGAGCCTGCTCTCTATTATGAAATCCATACCAAATATCTGATATGACGATTTGTCATTGATGATGATAATATATTGCTTACATGGAACGACAACAAGTCGACAATAAGTCTCGTTCCGTGAATTGTAATAATTCTAAAGATGAGATGATTAAGGTCTGACTCGGGCGAAATTTCCGTGGCAATTGTACGATAAAAATATTGATACAGCACACTGGAAACACTTGACACTCTTTCTGTGATAATCTACTCGATGAATCACACGCCAGAATAGAAACACGCGCGCAGAGTATGTGCGTTTAAGTACGACCATCGTAATATTTGATATATCTAATTAAAAATCTAATTACAATTATTACTAATTATATATACATCGGCCAATGTCGAACGCATTATGTGCCCAATATACCAATAGTTGCAATAAAGTATGATAATAAATTTAATTAACTGAGCTTTAATTATTAAGTCTCGACGTTCTATTTCTATGAAAAGAACAGTAAAATTATTGGTAATTATGTATTATAATTGCGAAGTGTAAGTCGTGACAAAAAATAATATGATCTGTGATGTTGTTCGTCGTCAGTTCATTTGACTTTAATATTATAAACTGCGTTGTTTATGACTTTTTAAGAAAGGAATATTTTGATGTTTAAATTTAATAACAGCGAGTACAACATAATGCCTTGAAAGATAATAAATATTAACGTATCGATATATTGTACATGTATCGTTGTATCAAATGTTTCGTGGAACGTAATCTTCTAGAATAAAATGATACAAATCAAGGAGAAATGATCATGATAAGCCGGGCGATAAGAGATAACTATTGGTATTTAAGCGCGACTCACAGCTGCGTTGACAGAACTTCAGTAGCTTTCCAGCAGTGACACTGACTCACAGTTTTCTGTCACCAGCCAGTTTTCTAAAGTCAGTCAAGATGTCGGCGTACAAACACATAATCGCTGTGAGCTTCTTGGTTGTCGTTTTACTCGCTCTCAGTGTCGCCGAAAACAAATCGCACAATCTGACCGTTGGCTACAGGATGCCAGGTGACAGACTCGTACTTACAGAGAAAATTGTCAAGAATTCCGCCTGGCTGAGGATTGTAACTGTAGAGAAGACTTTCAATACCACGAGGTACGAACGTATCACATATATTGAAGCACTGGACCAGAAGACAAACGGTAATGGCGCTTATGCGAGTATCTTGAGTGGTGGGCCTGGAAACACCAATGTCACTATGAAGTTCAAGAGCCAGAGAGGTCACGGTATCGACTTCGTTTTTAATATGTACGCTCGCCCTTAAAGGACCAACTTCAATAACAGCCACTATTATGACTGGTATGATAATTTCTGGATGCGATTAGAATAGAGAACATGAAGTAACTAATCCAGAAAATCATGACGTTAGACGTCTAATTACTTACTTTTTGGCAATATTGACACAATTCTCCATTAAAAAAGGGCTTGTCGTTTCTGTTATCTACTTCAGTATTGACTTTGTATGCATTACGAATAAATCTATGGAACTATACTGAATATTTTGATTCCTTATTTATATTTAATATAAGTATTATAAATATAAGTATTGATTTAAATATAAGTATCGATCGAGTCGATATCAACAGATGTAATTCAAAATAAATATATATATATATATATATATATATATATATATATATATATATATGCGTACGTGAAATTTATAAATAAAATATTGTAATTTAAAATGATGAAAAAAAATCTATGTCATGTATTTTCGTCCATATGGTCGAAACCGCTGACATTTATCTTTATCTATTATTTCTAATAATATCTCGCTATCTCGCGATATTGAACATTACGTAATACGACGCGACGGAAAGAATCGGAGTGACGGTGCGAGAGCCGAGGAAGGAATTTGGAAGAAGTGTCGGTAATAACGCAATTAGCGTCGAAGCGAGACGCGACAGCGATCCGGAATAAAAACGGACCGCGAGGAATCCACTCGCGGAATGTCTTTCTTATACGCGCTAATCAAGCACCGGCCGTTTCTCTTCAAGGTTCCCGATAATTCCCCCTTTTTCCCTCGCGCTTCTTCGGGACTCGAGGCGGAATCCCCGGCGGTGGAGTTCGGGGTCGTCTCCAAAGAACCGTGCGAGGCAACGGACGCGGGGTACAACAGGGAAGTAGAGAGGAACATCTTCTATTTCCGAGGCTTACGTACAAAGTACGTTTTGCGCATGCATGCATGGCGCGGCACGGAGGAGGAACAACCGACTGGAAAATTGTTGTCGCTTCGTGGCGCATTCTAGCACGGGCAACCCGCCGGCTGGGAGGAACTTCGAATCGAGTTGAGGACCACTGGAAATTGGTGGCGGTATCTCAAGCTTGCGAACGACCATTTCGTTAACCTACTTATTCTACCTCCGTTCCAGCCGCGACGCTCGCGAAGCCACGCCACGGAGAGAGTACCTAGTTTGTCCGCAGTTTCCGCTTCTGAAAACTACGCGCGGAAGGGAGGAGCGTAATTCGCGGTTCTACGTGGCTCTCTTCATTGATTGCGTTTTAATGGATTTCGTCAGGGAAGAGAGGACGCCGGTCGCGCGCGCGCGGCTCTCGACGATCGTTTGTGTTTCCGATGTGTAAGCGAAGTTATCGGCTACTTCGAATATCCGCGACGTATGGAATATCCCGCCACACCGGATACCGTCACGCTGTCCCAGTTCTGTCACGAACGAAGACAGGACCGCCGTATGCAAAGGGGATTATATTTGTGGAGTAGACAGAAGCATGTGCAATTTTTATACGTGAAAATTGAGGTCGGGACAAGGTTATAACACCCCGTAACAACCCGACCACTTCTGTGCACAGCGGGGCGCGTTGCTCGCAGGGAAAAATGTGTCCCGCGAAGATCAGGGTTCGATTTTCGATACACTGGTATTTATGAAATTACACCAGTGTGGCGAATCGTGTCTTTAGCCTTTTTGCATGAAATGTTTTTTATGCCCCCCTTTAAAAAGGTAGACAAAAGAGTAAATGATGTCATACGCGCAAACAGAAGCGAGGTGTTTTGTCATGGAAATACTGATAAGAACGTATCTACATTCAAACCTTGCACATGACTGTGGCGTGATGATGTGTCATAATATTTACAGTGTTTCTTAAAGAGTTTGTTCACTAGGTGTGTATTTTCAGTGTGTATTTTCAAGACACTCAAGAGATGTATTTTCAGCGACGCGTCAAAGGAACCATTCACAAATTCACTATTTATCGAACAAAATTACGTTCTTATATATTCATTTCACTATCTAGATTGTAAATGTTAATTTGAAATCAATTTCATGACACTTGTCACGCTTCATTCAGTACAATATTACTCAGAGCAAAAACAGTAGTTTTCTGGTCTACGATCAATTATTGCACAGAAACGGTCTAGTGAATATTCAAAACAATGTTTTGCTCATTCAGATAGAATTCTAAATGTCAAAAGTTCAAATGTATCGTTGTTTTTTGTTTCTGTTAGAAAATTGTCTGCAGTACATAGGATTTAAAGCAGCAGCATTCTAAAAATATCTGCAAGCGAATTTAAGTGGATACAAAAATTATACATTCATTTGTCTCTCGTGGCTGGCTTGTTTGGTTTATCACAGTCAATTTTTATAAGCTGTGTGACTGACTTTAATCGAGGTAGACGCCACAGAGAAACTTTCCTGCTAAATTTCACAAATAGTTCAGATGGAAATTCTGTCTCCGTCATCTCAATTAAATACAAATGATATGCAATATCGCAGCGTTTGTTAATCACTCGTCTATCTTAGCTAATTTGTCATATCTAGATAATTTTTGCTAAGTAACTGCAAGTTTATATTTAAGTAAATATTATTTTTTTAAGTAAATATTATTTTTTCTTCTATGCCACGTTTCCTAACATTTATAACAGTAACTTTTTTTACTTGGATAATACGATTTTTTACCAAGCTACACATTATGGAGTAATAGTCATATATATCTTCTGTTATAAGGTTACATGCGCAAAAATGCGATATGCAGTATTAAATTTCTCACAAACGTTGTAGACAAAATGCATAAAACTTTAACTGCAATAAATGTTACATGAAATTTTTGTAGGTTGAAATTTTAAGCATTTGGCCTAAGTAAATGAACTCCTTGACTATTTTTCTAGGGTACCTGGTACCAAGCCATGTTAATAATAAATTCGCGTGCTCGTTGAAGAAAAGCGATGTTTGACGCTAGCGCGTTTAAGACGCTAGTGATATCGTGCCACACTTATCATTCATGTCAAGATTGATTCGCGCGTCTATATGTGGAAGTCCTCGAAAGTAGCTGGCTTAGAAAAAAAGTCACGAGGCTTGAAACTTCTTCTCTAGCGCGAATCAGGCTCTAAACATAGCGCGTGGGTGCGCATTAACATTATATCGCGCATCTATTCTGACGAGAGAATGAGGTCTAAGGCTCTATATTTGGATACCGGACGATATAAAGCCGTATCGCGTCTTGTGAAATGTGACACGTGCTGCGATACAGTGTAAGAGAGACGATATTATTTCCGTTGTAATGCCACAAAAATAGAATTGCTTATAAACGAGCGCTATATTTGTTCTTTGACGTACATACATGGACAGAGTACGCACGTACTCGTATCGAGCCGACCGACGGCTCTAGAGAACTCCGCTTCGAATGCATCCTCTTTTGTCGTGAGGTCGATCGACACTGAGTCATCGAGTCGTCTACAGAACGCCAGTGAGCGGCGTGCATCTCATTTCGGCGAGCTTTTTACAAATTAAAGACCCTAACGTCTTCGAGGAGCGAATACGTAAAAGCAGCTACAAACTGCTACGAGTCTCTCCCGAGACTCGCTTGGGGGCGAGCGTTGAAAATATTTAAAACTGCACTTTAAATAACGTTTTCAGTGAAGTATGTCGAGCACGGATTCTCCCCGAGTGTGCATATACCCGAGTGAAATTGTACGCGGGAAGATCGCGGAAACGTAACTCGCAACCGGCTCGAGTCGAATGAGTGACGTACGTGTCTCTGAGAGTCGCGCAGACCGCGCGGAGGAGCGTGTGAGTGGGGCTGGTCGCGACGAGAGAAATCACCTTTTATTTTCCCGTCTGCGTGCTGACCGTGATAAGGAGGGCTCGTGTCTCGTAAAACACGTATGCATAAAAAGCCCCGACCGCACCTGGCAGCCGGCGGCTGCGGTGATGCAGGCAAGGGCGTAAGGAGCGCGACGCGCGACCGTAAACCTGTCGCGCGCGCGCGAGCCCGCGCGTTTGGTTATTGCTTATAAAATCGCGGGGCTGTGACGAGCGTGCGTGAGGACGTGTGCGAGAACAGGGTTGGACGGACAACCCGATGACAGGGATCGGGCGAGGACGAATGAAAGCGTGTTTGCATGAGCATAGCTACAAAAGAGCCGCCCGTCAATTCGAAACCGCAGCGGCCATTATCGGGCAATTTTAAACGGAACGCCGTAGTTACGAGTCTCTCTATCTCCCTCTCTCCCTTTCTCTCGCGCTTTAGATTCTGCAGTCGTCAAACAACGCAACAACATACCGCGCGCCGTTCGGCTCTTGGAATCCATGCAAACTGAGTGTCAGTGTAGTACACCGCGCGACAACAAAGGGATGCGGCGAAACGCGTTTTCGAAAAGTGTACTCCCGGTGGGCCCGCGGCCGTTGAAAACATAAAAATACCGCGCAAAAAGAGAGCGCTAATAACGCGACCACGATTTCTGCCAGGTGAGCAAATTCACGATTTTCCGCTCTTTTCGTCCTTGCAAGTCTCACGGCAAGTGAACTGCGTTGCAACGACAGTTTGCAAAATGTGAATTTGTGCAAATATTCTTCTCTCTTTCACGAACGATAGTTGAGTTTCTGTATTTTGAAATACACAGCGAGCGATGGATTTCAGCGAGCGAGCGAGCGAGCGAGCGAGCGAACGAGCGAGCGAGAGGGTGGGCGCGGGGGAGGGCGATGAGAGAGGGGGAGGGGGGAAGGAATGTCATAAGTCGGCGGCATATGCTTCTCGAGGCATCGCATGTGTAATGCAAGTCAGTCGAATCGCAAGCATTACGCAGCAAGTCTCGAACGAAATGGTTCTAATGGATTGACCAACTGACTTGCGTTTTTCGTTTGAAACCTCCTGCGAGTCATTTGAAATCCCATGTAAAAGCTGATGAGTTTAAAGCGCTGTGCGTGTCAGAGTTAAATGCGTTCCGCTGACAAGCCATACGCTCCTTCCCTCGTGTGAAATGTATTGTTGCGCGGCATACAGCTTGAATTATTACGAATTCCTGCTACGATTATTGCGATTATTATTTTTTGTTGGGCGAAATTTCACCAACACAGATTGTACGTGGGCAGCTCTCTCTTTCTCTTAGTTGCGGACTCCGACGAACATTTCAAGAGAATATTCTATCGTCATTGCGCGTGATATTCAATCGTGATAAAATCACGATCATTCTATTACGTATCGCTCGATGCCGAGAGTGAAGAGCAGCAAGGCGAACGGGCAATTATAATTAAGACGTTAGA